CCCCAAAACCCCAAAACCCCAAAACCCCACCATAAAATTATAAAAATGTTGATCAATTATTAAAATTCATTAATTGAGAAATCATTACTTTCTAATTTCAGTTTTTTTATTTGCGGTCTAAATAGAGACTAAGTGCTAGTGATCCTTTGACTAACTTTTCTTATTCCTATTTATTTGAATAGTACTAACCCGCAACTTCTCAGCAATTTCTGCTTTCTCAAGTTTCCTCTAGAATTACCATTCTTTGTCATCAGTATTTCTAGCACAAGTCATAATGTTGTACTTGTCTAAAATTTGTTTGAACTATCTTGGATTAGGGCCTCTTTTCATTTTTTCTTGCTATTTTTAGGTATTATCAGTCATAGAAGAAATATCTGATTCACTCTTGTTCTAATACACTCTGAGTATATCTAGTTTGGGAACTATAGAAGGCCTCTTGATTTAATTTGGCCTCTTCGAAGGTTCAATAAATGTACCTGTATTGAAAATAACACTATCTCCTCCAATTAAACTAGATACCTATTCTGAGTCCAAATTAAGATAACTGCCCATTTTACTTCTAGAATAATTTTGTCTGTCATAGCTTTTTCTTGGTTATCTTAAATCCTACTTTTAATTGTAGACATTCGAGTAGACCCTATCAGTAAATGGTATGCCTGCTAGTACTTCCTCTTTCTTGACTCCAAACTATTCGTAATCTTTATCGATCAATTTTTGTTTCTTGATAGTGATTCTTTCCTCTTACAGCTAGGCATAGAGCTATTTATATTCATCATCAAACTGGTTAGAGAATCTAGTAGTGGGTATATCCTTAATTTCGGTTTCAAACACATCAGAAATGGGAAAGCCTTACTCCTTAAGTACATACAAGAAGAACATAAGCTTATTTTCTCTTTGCTTTCCATAGTCTAATTCTTCTTACATCTCCTAGAGTACTCCTTTGAGCTCCTCATTTTCACTTTGATAAACCTAAAGCTACTCTAACACCTCTTGTTATTCTTCCTCAGTTAAGATCTAACTATTTTAATTATCTGAAATACCACTGAATCTCTTAGGCATAGCACTACTTTTCTTATTTCCTGGCAACTGCATTTGTTACTTAAATAGCTCTTTATATTTTTTCTTAGCAATCTCAATCTCATATTCTAGTCTCTCAATCATATCATCTCTTTCGTCAATTTGCTAGGTCATTGCCTGTATCTAAGATCTAGTCTCGTTTTCATTTCTGTTTATGTCCTCTAATTCTTTCTAAGTTTAGATAAGTATTTAGTTAGTTTAGTTTAGTTGAGACTAAATTGTAAACACCCTATTTGTTAAATCCTTTTTATCTGAAAACAACTAGTTAAAGCATTCATCTTGAACAAGAATCATTTTTTCCATCAAATTTTTTACTGAGTCATCTAGAAAAAGAGATAAATCAAGCTAGGTATTCTTAACTAAATTTAGCTTATCTAGTACATCATCATCTTTACTTCTTTTTATATCAGAAAATTTTTTGTTGATTTAATTAATTTGACTGAGAAATTGATTATTGAGCAAGCCACATTTTTCTTGGATCTGCATTTTTTATTCCTCGAACATTTTTTGTAAAATTTCAAGATTGTCATAATCTCTGATAGATTCAGTTTCGTCTTTAATAGGCGAAATTTTCTCTATTCCATCCTTTGCCATCGATGAATGCTAAAAGCTATTGGTAAAGGATACCTAGAAATTATGTTAGAGTTTTTTCATCACTGCATTTTAGATTTATTTCTTTTTAATTTCATCTTTGCTCTCATTCTTTATATTTTTATGTGAGAATTAACCATTTGATTTAATCACTAATTTATTCTTTTATTTTCCAGAGAGTTTACTCAAGTTTTAACTACAATTTTATTGGGTAACAGCATTAAGAGTTTGGTGCAAATTTTTGACTGATTATAAACCAAGATGATTATCAGGAGACAAAGTATTATTAGCTCTATTGTTGTAAGATACACTGTTGCCTTGCCAGTTCTATATCAAAGGGGCTGTTTGACCAAGTTTAGTATTTACCATAAAGTTATTATTTATCACATTCCTACTTTTAAGCCCAATTGCTTGATCTTATTTCTGCTTTTGTAGGAGTTTGGCACTTTAGAAGTAACTTTAGGGGTTAAAGGAATGCTTGTTTATGATATTTCCAGCATTTGGCCTCTCATTACTTGGATTGGTACTCTGATGATATAATTCAATTTTGCTAGGTGAAACTATTATACTCTGCTTGTTGGATGTATTTACGCTCTTAAATTGATTTAAGTTTTGGTTATGCTTTGGTGGTTTAATTGATTGAAACATATGCTTCTTTTCATCTGAATTCTGACTGAGTGTAGAGGATCTTAAAACTATATTCTTATTGTTAAAATAGGGCTTAACTCTGTTTAGCTTTTCTTAGTTTTCCATAGTTGTCTAGCTTAATGAATTCAGTAGATCTTCATCAAATGTATCTTAGTAAGACTAAAAATGCCTGTTATACATATGATCTATATCTTCTATTGATGAAGTCATGAAGTGTAACTAGTTCTAAGGTTTCACACTTCCTCTCTGGTTTAGCATTTGATTTTTCACTCTGTTGTAGGATTATTCTAAGGAAATAAGTTAATTCAGATATTTTGTTCACAATGACTTACCTTGAACCTGAATATAGTTTTTCTGAGATTCTGAGTTTTTATTTTGGTCCTAAGGACTAGATATTATCGTTTGCTGAGGTATAATATAAAAGTTGTTACCTTTATTATCTAACCTTTGTTATTGATTCTGGATAAGCATGGTCCTCACAGACTGTTGATCTACTAATCTTAAGTTTGCCCCATCCTATTGATTGTTTGGGGAATCAAAAGGTGTTCTTTTTTTACTTCTAGTAGATAAGGATGAGCCCCCAGAAAAGTTTGATAGAGATTACTGATCGACCATAATATTTTACTAGCTTGTAATTTTAGACACTCTTTTCTTGCTTTTTTTAGAGCTTGATTTGCGTAATTTACTTTGCGCTTTAGAATTCTTTATATCTTGCTTAGGTGCATTTTTGTCAATTATAGTCTGGAAGAATGAGTTTTTGTTACTGTTTTTAGTGGAGTTAATATCCTTGATCTTCATGTAACCCTGAAATAGATTCTTCTGCAAAGTCATTTTTTGAGGTGAAAACATCCCAGTCCCTTCTTAGCCTTTTGGACTAAGCGACTGTTTATGTGAGAGGTTTTCTTTTGACTTAGAGGACCTCAAAACAATTGGTTAAGGTCCAGGTTTTTGTATTTATCCTTTTGAAACTTGCTTTTTCATCGTTAAAATATTAATGTTATAATTTTATACTTATTATCAAGACTTCAATAATTCTAATATTCTGACTAAATGGGGTTTTGGGGTTTTGGGGTTTTGGGGTTTTGGGG